AGCACCCGAGCAACTTCCCAGCAACTTTCGGCTTCCTTTTAACTCGCGGGCGCTCGCGCCTGGCCCTGAGCCGCGCGGCAGAGGGGAAGCCCGGCGGGCGGGCGAGCTGCTTGGAGGAGGCAACCCGGCGGTGCTCCGGCAGCAGCAACAGGCAGTTTCGCCCGGGCTCCGCTCAGGTGTCTGGCTGGGGCTGTGAGGAGTTGCTACCGCCGGCGCAGCTCCAGTCCCGCGTTGCCTTGGGAAGGAAAAGGCAAAACCAGGAGCCGCTGAGCCTGAGCCTCCGGTGCCGCTGCTCCCGTTGCAAAGCACCGCCGCGGCTCTTCCTTTTTGCCTTTCCCTTCCCGAGGCAACGCGGGACTGGAGCCGCGCGGAGCCGCACTGGCGGTAGTAACTCCTGACTCAGGGGGCCTCCGAGGGGAGGGGAAGGAGGAGAAGGGGGGAAGGGTGGGGGGGACGATTCCCAAAAAATCTTGTGCTGACCCGGCCCGTCTGTCAAATTTTAAAAGTCAATGCGGCCCCCGAGCCAAAAAGTTTGCCCACCCCTGATGTAGGGGCTTGACTGTCAGGTGTATGAATGAAAAACAACACAATTAATTGCTCAGAGTAGCTTCTTTGTTGCTGTTTGCCCACAGATAGAATCTTGCCAGACTGAAGCACACTCTGCATAACTATCAGTTGTGTGAAGGTTATAGGGAGGGTCCCTTCTGGGCCTCTGACTGCAAACCAAGCACTCAAGGCTGATTTGTCTTTTAGCCCCAGATTCAACATCAACATAACATGCGTTTCTCTGAGAGATGAAGTGACCATTGATCTCATTCTGACATATTCTGTACTATGTATTTCTTCCTACAACATCACTGAGCGTCAGCATCTGTATAACTCCTAAAGCTAGAGTGTTTTATTGTACAAAAGTTTGATGGTGCATGAGAGTTCAATGCCCCAAAGAGGGTTTGAACCCTGTAAAATAACATCTCATTACACACACTTGATAATTGTCAATAAGGATGAAGCCAATAATGCAGTGGCTCATGTGGTCTATGTGATTAAAAACACCACAAAGAAAATATGCTGGATAAAAATAGAATAATGCCCCCCCCAAGAGTAAATGGAAGTCATGTTAAACCGCATACATGGGGGGAAGAATATAACATTTCTCTCTCTCTCTCTCTCTCTCTCTCTCTCTCTCTCT